AAAAAACCGCCGTTAATGCCCTGTTTTGGCGTAGTGTTTATGCATATTATAAATTCACCATTCATAATTTTTATGACAGAGTGACACAATGTACACCGCAAACATACCTAACTTTTTTCGCAAAATACAATAATCAATAAATACATTTTCTTGACCGTGCCATCAAATGTTTTTCATTTCCAAAACACGTGAATTCTCAAAATTAAATATAAAAAAGATATTTCATAAAAAAAATAATTAATTGATAATTTTTTGTGGTGAAAATTTTAAATATTATTTGTGGTATGTTATGTCAGTTTATGATCTTTTTATCTAAAGTGAAAATTACAAATCATTATAATTATGTTATTAACATTATAATTATGTTATTAATAATATAGTGTAAATAATACATATAATTTTAGTAAAAAAAAAAGGTTACAATTTGTCAGAATGTTTGTTATTGAACGTTATAATTATTTTACATATATTGTGAGTGGGTGAATATATTAACAAGGTGCACACTGTATCAACTTTTATTATATATGTGATAATTAGAATGATGGCAGAAAATGGCTTGCTCCCTACACTGACCAATTTAAATAAATTTAAATAAATTTATGATCAATAAATTTATGTGATAAATTTATGATCGATAAATTTATGTTCCCTACATAATTAGAATGATGTCAAAAACCTTTCTGATCAATTTAAATAAATTATCAAATACAAAACTCAAAACTCGAGGAAAATCCAAATTCAATAATGAATCTGGCCCTACACTGACCAGATAACACAGAAAAGTAATTTAGAAATAAAAGAGTCGCTCACACTTAGGTTTATGTTTTATATAATAAAATAGATATACTGAAAACTGAGCAGAACAATATAGGTGTGTTTGCAATCGACAATTATAGAATCTATGGACATGTTTGAAATTTATTGTAACACATTTGGGAATAAGAAAATATAGATAGATATACACATTCCAACACCCCGTGCCCCATCTTTTTTTCCTTTCCCAAGATGACGGCAAAAATTTATTTTTTTTTCTCCATATAATTCATTGTAAGTTTACAAGTGTACTGATTAGAGAAATGCTCAATTTTTAACTTGAACTCGTGTAGTATAACCCCCATTAGGTAACATACAAGAAAGACTATATTCTTTAGAGGGCGTTACATTTTTTCCTTTCCCAAGATGACGGCAAAAATTTATTTTTTTTTCTCCATATAATTCATTGTAAGTTTACAAGTGTACTGATTAGAGAAATGCTCAATTTTTAACTTGAACTCGTGTAGTATAACCCCCATTAGGTAACATACAAGAAAGACTATATTCTTTATTTTTGTATAAACCAAATGCAACTTTCTTGAAAATTTGTAAAGAAGCCTTGATGGATGACTTTAAAGACATGGCATACATTTGATTCAGCAAATGAACATGTAGAGCTAATATTTTTAATGAGAGAAGGAAATTACTATACTATCTCTCAAGACATCAATTTATCATATAGTGAAATCGTAAAACTTATGGCAAATTCATGATTTGTTTCTTTATTTTGCATGTTTTCTCTATTCATCTAAACATCATTCTCATTACACGAGAAGGAGGTGAGACCGGGACATTCTACTTTCTCCAAGTAAATCAAATTGGGAAATTGTTGGCTGCATATTTTGTACAAGCCAGTTACAATTCGACGCGTGGCAAAGTAAGGGTAATATGGGGAGACCATTCAAGTCTTCGATCCTGATCGTACACGTGGTAGTTGATATTGGTTGTTATGAGATCTGAGTAGCAGTGGATCAACAAAGAGATGCAACGTGATGTGGCATCAGCGGTTACTCTTATTTAAATTCAAATTTATGAGGGAAGCTTAACTGCAAATGATGGCATAATGGAACTAATCTTGAGGCTACATAATCAGCGATCATGGGGGAGCAGTTCGACGGTTGGAAATACAGTTCGACTGTCGTCTTTGAGTAGTATAAATAGCAGAGAAGGCCCTGGAAAAAGCCCCCGGACTCAGATCTAAAAAACCAGTCTTATTCTACTTTACTTTTACATACCCTGTTCTTTACATTCCAGTACTTCAAATTCTGCACTGCATTTTCATTCATAGGAGAGGTAGAGATACCTAATCCAGAGGATAGTGTGATAACACATCCTGTGGAAACTCCTATTTTATCGGAACCTATGGTCGAACAGACTAGTACTTCAGAACAAATATCATTTGTTCGTAATATTGGACGAGACCAAGGAATTAGATCATCCACTGTCCCATCTACTCAGCCAGTGGATCCATGGGGTGGCTTAATAGATGTAATGGGACAACAATTAATGAACACAATGGAAAGGTGGGCAACATCCTTTTTGGATCGAATGAATAACTACCAACTAACAAACGCAAGACACATGGGGGAAATTTCGAATGTCCCTCAACAAAGATTGGTTAGAGATAAACAGCCTATGCAAGTTAATGGACATTCTAATGGACAAACTAGTAATTAGAACCATGAAAGACCATCACCTTAGTCTTGGTACGAACCTGTTCCAAGGCCCGTTGTAGGTCAAAATGTCTAAGTACTTAACAGTGAAGCCATACAATTTGGTGGAACTGGCCCAGTACAAGGAAATGGCATAAGAATGGTTCCGAATCCCATGTTCGAAGCCATACCTGGCACAAGGGAGTTCACTAATCTCTTATTCGAATTTATACCCGAGGGGTCCTACAAATGGAAGAGACACAACACCAGTTCCAGCACCTTTCGCAGGTCCTTTCGTAGGACGAATTCAAAGGGGTTACCCACACCCCCAACAGCAACCTGCACCACAGGAACAACCGGTCCCAAATATACCACCTTATGGACCAAGAGGACCACAAATCCTGTGTTTGTTCCTCCGGCAGTGATTTAGCAGGCACAAAATATGGCCCCTAGGGACCAAATTGCTGACATCATTAGGGAGATGTATGGACCAATGGCTCTGGGGGTCCAGACTCCTGTATACAGAAAACCCGACCCAGAATGGATAGATAGGGTACATGAATACCCAAGAGGTTTCAGGATACCAGATTTCATCCTTTTTTATGGAAATGGAAACCAGTCAACAGTAGAGCATATCGCTAGGTTCGCTGCTCAATGCAGTGAATTCACTAATAATGATTTTATGAAGCTGAGGCTGTTCCCAAATTCTCTAACTGGGGGAGCATTTGTATGGTACATTAACCTTACACCTAGCTTAATCCAAACTTGGCAACAAATGGAAGAGGCATTTCATGCCCAATTTTTCCAATCGAAGCCAGACGTTTCCATGGCAGACTTGGCAAGGTTGAGTCAAAGGCCTGAAGAAAAGGCTACTCAGTTTATTGCCAGATTTAAGAGGGCTCGAAATAAATGTAGAGTCATTTTGCCAGAGCCAGAATTCGTAAGATTGTCTCAAAATGGCTTAGAATTTAGGCTTCGAAAGAAGTTTGACTCAACAGAGTTCAGGGACTTAGTGGAACTGACTTACAAAGTATCTAGATATGAAACATTACTAGAATAGGAGCAAGATCGAAATAATGCATCATATAAGACATACTACAAAGATCCTAACTATGAGATTGATGCAGTAGAGACTGTGGGGAAAGAGCCTATGATCTGTGAAGCATTAATTCATAAGGATACGACAATTGACCAGCAATTTAAAAAGAAAGATCTCCACAGGAACAATTTAAAAAGAAAGATCTCCACAGGAAATATTCTTTCGATTTAACTAAGGCAGATGACATTTTTGATCATTTGCTTGCGACCAACTTCTTTAAGTTATCAAAAGGGGTTAAAATTCTATCTCTTGATGAACTTAAAGGAAAAGTATATTGTAAATGGCATAATTCTTGGTCTCACTCGACTAAAAACTGTGTTGTTTTTCGTGACAGGATCCAAGAACAAATTCAGAAAGGGAGTTTGAAATTCCCAACCAAAGTTGAAAAAGCCATGGGGATCGACAGTACTCCATTTCCAGAAATTGGAGAGGTGACAGCCAATGTCATTATGCCAGATTTTCAGAACCTGTCTTTGAAAGAATTGGAAGAAGTCAATGCACAGATGCATGTGGCGAACCAGACAGCAATCAAGAAAGACACTAGAGATCTACCAGCTATTGGACAAGGTTTCTCACACTAGAGGGAAGACTCTGAGGAAGAAGCATTGGATGACGATTCCTTAGAAGCAGCTGTAATGTAGAGGATGTGTCCTAGGTGCAGACTAAGCTACAAATGGTTGAAAGGACTACCGACTGATGGGAAGCAGTACTACAAGGATGTGCAGAGATGTCCTAAGCCAACCAATGCTTACAATAAAAGTCCATATCCATCTAGCGTCAGGCAGTAGCCCTTGAGGGTTGAACCAATAGTTGATAGGATGCATTTCAAAGGCAAGAAGCCTTTACATGAATCCAGGCCAGCTAATTATTACAAAACGGAGAGCAGCCATTCTGGGAAGAGATTGGAGAGAAGTCCAGTTTATGGGATTAAAACCAGAGATGGGTCCCCTAAACTAGCCTCACGCAAGACAGAAAGTGGACACCTTCATCGAAGGCCGGAGTTAGGCCCAAAGCATGAAGTCAGGACCAAGTAGTGGCCTTCACGGCTAGCTTCGAGGAAAGCTTCGAAGGAAGAATGAAGTAGTTCCACGGCAGGGTCAGTAAGTTCATGGGTACCTGGGGTCCCAGACTGGTTTGTAATGCAGAACAAACCTAGGGAAATGTCTACCTAGAGAGAGGTTGCTGGAAACCAAGGTGGGATGGTCAGACCTCCTTTGGTGCCTCCGAACAATTGGGTCTTGCTTAAGCACCCAAAAACAAAGGAACCAGATATGGTCCCCGTGATTTCTAGATCACAAAGGAGAAAAATTCAGTGCAGATACACTCAGTACCAACGAGACCTGAAAGAAAATGGAGAGAATTCTTTATTGGCACAGACAAAAGGAAAGAAGAATCCAAAGTCAAACCCTACTCCGAAACCAACTCTACAAGGAAAAATGGGTTGCAACAGAAAACAGTTGGCCAAAGTTCATTCTGAACTAAGAGCCAAGGAGAAGTCTAGTTTAGCGGGATTAGAGAAGGCACTAATGGAAAGTGACAACGAACCAGAGACGGAAGTTGGTTTAAGCCAAAAGAAAGAAATGGTTGAGGAAGAAATGTTCGAAGCCTTCATGGCTGAACAAACGTTCCTGGTTGAAAAACCAGTCGTGACAGACCATTCAAAGGATAAAGTACTAGAAAGCGGCATGGAGGATGCTTCTGGAGTGACTGAACAAGGTGGCCAAAAGGAGAAGCAGACACAGCTGGCCATCCAATTTGGCTCGGTGTCAGTGAACATGGTGCACATACTACCGCATGAATTCCAAGCTGGAGATGAGAATCAAGAGGGGCAAGAAATTGACCCAATTCCAATCTCTAGTGAAGACTCACAAGTGAGTGTGGTACAAGATAATTTCGGAATGATTACCCCAATGGAAACTGAGTATGGGAGTGAAGAAGTGGTAAGTATTAACCTCTCATATCCTTTTGAATATCCCTCGAATTCTATGACACAGCATGTTAAGCCTTTGTATATTAAGGCCTTCTTCGATGGGATACAGTTGAACCGAGTCTCAGTGGAATGGGGCAGCGGTGAACTTACTACCGAAATCTTCCTTGAAGAAATTAGGAAAAAAGAATCTCAGGTTAATCCCAACCAGTACAACCATTGCTGGTTTTGCTAGGGACAAACAGATGGCCTAGGGAATTCTACCCATCAACCTGAGTGTGGGAACCAGGGACTGCATGACGGTGTTTTTCGTCATCGACAGTAATGCGAAGTACAATGCTTTACTTGGTAGAGATTGGATCCACACTAACAAATGTGTGCCTTCCTCTTTGCATCAAAAAATGATAATGGCTCTAGGCAATGGGGAGACGGAGGAAATTGATGTAGATCCTCAACCTTTCGTAGCCTGCGCAGACTTTGCAGAAGCCAAGTTGTATATTGAGGGAGTGACACCACTCAGTATACTGATAAAATCTGATGGCTCAGCCGAAGTAACAGCTGATGAGGAAGTGACACACCTGAAGCACTTAGTCCAGGAAAGTGCTGATGAAGAGGTGGTCGTTAAAGATGACAATGATGCCTGGTTATAGGCAGCAAGATGAAGCACCAGAAGCCAAGTCTTTGGCTTTAATTAAGTTTTCAATATTAGATGTAAAGTCAATAGTCCAGAAAGTACGGGAGCAAGAGAAAGGAGTCATGATAATTGGCTACAAGCAAGAGCAGCAACAAGCCAGAGTTTTGACTCATGATAAATACTGTGCATTGGACATAGAGACAAAAGTCCAAGAAATACAGGAAGAAGAAGCCTTGTGGACAGACTTCGTCTATGATGAGGAGGGTAAAGAGGTTGAATCAAAGAACCTGGGAACAAAACGCAGCAAGGAGATTGCTTCGAAGTTAGAACGAATCAAAGAAGGAGTTCTAGTAAGTACTCAGATACAAGACCCCTTAGAAGAAATAAATTTAGGGGAAGGTTCTGTACAACAACCCATTTATATAAGTGCTCGGTTGAATATTCTTAACAGGAACCAGTTGTTGGTTATACTAAGGAGATATAAAGATTGTTTCGCATGGTCTTATAATGAACTACCAGGATTGGATAGGTCCTTAGTGGAACATAGGCTTCCTATGAAGCCTAACTTCAAGCCATACAAACAAAAACCAAGAAGCATGGGTCCAGAAGTGATCCAGAAAGTTAAAGAAGAAATTCTTAGACTACTCAAGGCAAGCTTTATCAGGACAGCCAGGTACGTTGAATGGCTATCTAATATTGTGCCTGTAGTTAAGAAGAATGACAAAATGAGGGTATGCATCGATTTTAGAAACCTAAATCTAGCAACTCTAAAAGATGAATATCCTATGCCCATAGTAGATTTGCCAAAGTCAAACCCTACTCCGAAACCAACTCTACAAGGAAAAATGGGTTGCAACAGAAAACAGTTGGCCAAAGTTCATTCTGAACTAAGAGCCAAGGAGAAGTCTAGTTTAGCGGGATTAGAGAAGGCACTAATGGAAAGTGACAACGAACCAGAGACGGAAGTTGGTTTAAGCCAAAAGAAAGAAATGGTTGAGGAAGAAATGTTCGAAGCCTTCATGGCTGAACAAACGTTCCTGGTTGAAAAACCAGTCGTGACAGACCATTCAAAGGATAAAGTACTAGAAAGCGGCATGGAGGATGCTTCTGGAGTGACTGAACAAGGTGGCCAAAAGGAGAAGCAGA